TCTTTCTTAATCTTACTTCATAAAAATAAGCTCCTTTCATGAGAAAAAAAGTTAACTTAAATGTAGCTGTCTCTTTAATGTGAATAGACAGCTGAAAGCAGTGCCCTCTGGGCAGGCATCAAATACTCTGTAAAGCTAAAGGATTGTTGTGCAGGGATTTTGCTCAGTATAAAAGTCTGGAAAGGAAAATTTCGTAGAAGAATTCATAAAAGAATGTTTAGCTGCTCAAAAAAACTCGTTTTAAGTGGAAGACATTGCATAGTAATAAACTTAGAAATAATGGAATTATCTCATCTGCTAGTGAGATGACTGCAGAGGGAAGGATTGTGTACTAGATTTTCTAGAGTAAGTAAAAGCATTTTGCTTAGAGTTGTTTCCAACTTCAGTATATGCTGTATGTGTCATCTTTAATTTGATATGTATCATGGAGAAAATGTTCATTGCAAAGCATTTTTTTTTCCTTATCAAGGGTTTGTGCTTTAATGGCCAATTACAGTTATGTGAAATTTAATGACTAGCAGATGTAAAAAAGTGCTTGTAATGGAAATAGATTCTTAACTATAAACTTCCTTTCTCTAGAATGCTGAAAAGTTTTAATTGTGTTCATATGGCATGACTGTACTCATATTTTCTTCTGTAATTATTCCGGAATCAAATCCAAAATCTCTGTCCTAACCAGCAGAGCTAAATAAGGACAAGATCAAAACGACGTTTCATGAAGTGTATATAGTTCGCATCTATCTGTTTGTCTCTAAAGATACATAAACCTTGTTTTTCTGTTAGAAGAACTAATTTTAACAGATAGGTAATTCTCAGGACCCTAAAATGGTCGGATTATTTAAGCAGATTAATTTCAGACCATTTTAGGAGTAATCTGTAAATACTGAGTCAGTAGAATGTCAGATTATTGGAGGCAAAAGCCTTACTATTTGAACATTTGGCAAGGATAATAAATGTTGAATGAATCAAAAGACTCAATTCACTGTCAATATTTCTGAAATGATGAACTGAAATGAAAAAAATGCAATGTCTGAGCTAGCTAGCTAGCTAGCTGTTCTTTTTTTGTCTTTCTTTTTTTGAATTATTCATACCATTCCATATCCTGCTTCTCCCCAACATATTGCAGCATCAGACATTGTTGCCTGATAAACTTTCTGTTCCCCAGTATATACATGACCTTGATTTTGGGGTGAAGAGTGAGGATATTTGTATTTATATTACTATACTCTGTGTTAGTGGTGATAGTTTAAAGAAAGTGAGAAAGAAGGCAACCTATATTCTCTAATCTTACAGAGGTTTTGCAGTTGTAGTATGTTTGAAAGTCAGTAAGATTTATGTTTTTACTTGCTGTAAAAGAAGTAAACTTTAAAAGAAGGATATTGTTTACTGAATGTATTATGTACAAAATAGCATTCCCTTGTTAAGGAGAATGTGTGTAGGTGCCAAGCTTCCTATGACTTTGTAATCATGGTCATCTGGTTTGTGTGTGTTGGTGCTGAGGAATGTTTGAAATGTCTTTCTTTATGTTAAGTGAGCCTTTCCAGTATTTGATCATCAGTCCTGCAAAAGTGCCATTTTATAGATATGAAGGAGGTTTTACTACTCAGATGATTTCAGGAAACAAAGTTTTCTGATTTTAGCACAATTTTCTTTTAACATCTGTTTTAAAGCACTAACAAGAAAGTAGATGTGTGCATATACCTCCAAATGATATATATGGGAAGTATATCTAGATGACTCCCAAATATATCTATTATTTGTTGTGTTTTTACATGCCAAAGCAGTTGTTCCTTTTTGAACTTCTTATTGCCACTGTGTTGCAAATAATTCTTAATTGAGTGCATTGAGGATCTTAGTTATTTTTTGCCTCCTCTTTCTTGTTTTCTAATTTTATGATACAGCACTACCTGTAATAAACAAGTGAAGCATTTGGATTTGAGATGTTTCTCTCAATGTTGCTCAAAGCTGCTACCTTGTAATAAATTAGAAGTATCTGTAGTGTTTAGGAAAAGGTTACGTCTGCAGCAGTAGCTCTAAAAGGTGATTAAAAATTATCACAGAATGGCTTAAGTTGGAAGAGATGTCTGGAGGGCGTCTGGTCCAACCCCCTTGGCTCAAGCAGGGTCACCTGGAGATGGCTGCCCAGGAGCATGCCCAGACAACTTTCGAATATCTCCAAGAAGGAAGTCCCCAACCTCTCTGGGAAAACTGTGCCAGTGTACTGTCGCCCTCACAGTGGAAGAAGTGTTTTCTTATGTTTAGACATAGTCTCCCATGTTTCAGTTTGTGCCCATTGCCTCTGGTCCTGTCACCATGCACCAATGAAAAGAGCCTGGCTCCATCCTCTTTGCACCCTCTCTTCAGGTATTTATACAGATTGATGAGATCCCTCCCTGAGCCTTCTCTTCTCCAGACTGAGAGCCCCAGCCCTCTCAGCCTTTCCTCAAATGTGAGTTACTTTCATCATCTTCCCAGCCCTTCACTGGACTCATTCCAGTATGTCCAGCACTGTACACAGTACTCCAAATGTGGCCTCACCAGTGCTTGAGTAGAGCTCAGTGTCCTGGCAACACTCTTAATGCAGCCCGAGATACTGTTATCCACCCTTGCCACAGGCTTTTCTTTAGCATTTCCTTTAGTAATGCAGACTTCCCTTTAGAATTTGCTGGTTTGAAAGTGTTTGAATGAGAGGAACCTGGGGCAAATGCTTCTCTTGCAGACTTTTTTTTTTTTCTAAGCAGATCCCATAGTTATTTTTTTGTCCTCTTAGAAGGTGTATTTGTACTGGGTTCTGAAGCAGAAAAGATCTGAGGTGCTTTGCTGTTCAGAGAGGACTGTTTGGTATATAAAGCATAGAGGTTAATAGGAAATAAGGACATACAAGCAGTTTGTTGGATGACATAGTTAAGCGTGCAAAATCCTTCAGCAGTTATGAAGTTACAATATACAGATTATATGATATGTAACTTTTCTGGCTTTCCTGCTAAAGGTTGCACCAAGAAATTATTTAAAAGGGTTATAAATAGAACTACTTGAAACTTACTTACAGTATAGTCTCATATATTTAATTTTACAGGCTCATGAGCGACTGGAAGATTCTAAACTTGAGGCTGTCAGTGACAACAACCTGGAGTTGGTGAATGAAATTCTTGAAGACATCAGTCCCTTAGTAAATAAAGATGAAAATATTGCAGAATTGGTTGGAATACTCAAGGAGCCTCATTTTCAGGTGCCACCTTTTTACTGTATGTTACCAACTTACTGTATCAGTGTCTACATGTGGACCTAGGAATAATAATGAAACAAAACCTGTACTGTAGCAAACTTTAATAGGTAGGATTTTACTCCAGTGAAAGGTAAAGCAGAAGCCATATGAGGTTAAGAATGAATGCAATTTTATTCTTTTGTACCACCTCAAGAGTATCTTCACTTGTTCTATTAAAATCCATTGGAGTTTCTGTTATAAGTCTTGAAGAAACATTTACTTCCTACATGACTGGAGTTTCCATAACAGTTCCCTCAAGGCTTCATGCTTAGCATTTCCAGGTGGTCACAGTTCCTGATACTGACCATTCTGCATTTCAGTTCAGCTATTGACATTCATACTCATGTGTAAGATGTACAGTTTGCAGAGTGAAGGAATGTGATGTTTCTGTGATGCAGTCTGCATTGGAGCTTGAGACTCTGCCTCTCTCACTGTTGCTCTACTTAATATAAATGAAGTTTTGACATATGCTTGTCAAAAGCAGATGTTTTTCCATAGGTGCTGTTCTATTACCAGCTTCCATAGTGACCCTTAAAGATGAGGGCTTGTAATCTAGGCAGGCTTCAATTGACTTTAGTACTTAGCTATGGGTATCCTGTAAAAGAACATAAGCCAAACCTTTTGCCACAGTATAAATGTGCTTCTTTTGGCAGACAGGTATAATATCATAGACATTTTTTTGGGTATATGAGTTTAAACACACATTTTTTTTCCTAAATTTCCAGTTATATATTATACAAACACAGCAGTGAGATGCATTACTGCTTAACATAGATAAACACTGAAAATGCTGTGAAGCTGTGTTGTGGCCTGTTGGAAGAGGGAACACTTGAAGAGCTTTTGAGGTAGTATCTATTCTGAGTGCTGATAGTTCCTCTGTCTCTTCTGAAAAGTAGTATATTGGCCTGCCGTGTGCTCTTATTTTGTCTGGAAGGGCATCATCGCTGGGGGATCAAACACTGACTTGGAGACTAACTGGTGAACAAACCTGCAAGTCGCTCTTTGATCCCTTAGCAGAAATTGGTACTGGAAAAGAGGAGGATTAATTTGGAGGAATTAGTAGTTACAACGCAAAAAGATTGGAATTGGTGGCCAACAGGTGCAGTGACAGAGCTGACAAAGATCCAGTGTGTCAGATAGAGAAGCTAAAACTGACTAGTTGAAGAGGATGAATCAAAATATACAAAGGACTTAAGTGAAGAGCTGGAGTAAGCTGACTTTAAAGGCACTGTAGTGATGATCTCTGGAGGGAGATGGCAAAGACCAGAGACCACCTGGGCAACGAATCTTTGTGAGGGAGACTGGAAATGGCCTGTAGGAGATTGAGATCAAATAAGGTTTTTAATTAGGGTGAATAGCCGATACCAATGCAAACTCACCATTCATTCCTGTTCAGTGGTCCTATTTACGAGGAGAGATACAATATGATGTTGGTGTCAGTTACTCCTTTAGTTCAGGCTTAAGCGACTTGCACATTTAATTTAAAAGTTCCAAAGTAACTGTGAAAAAAATGCCAATATTTATGCTCTTTATTGTACATTTTTTTAATTTATAAAAAACAGACTTGAAATTGCATATACTGTACGTTAGCTTTACAATTTTGCTCTGATCTTTTGTTCGTGCTTCCTAATTGTACGTTGAAGGTCCATTGAAGAAATATATCTTCTGTTTTCCTTCCCTGTCCCCAGTAGTAGACGACTACTGAAGACTGTAAGGCTAGGACAAGCCAACAGTGATACCTGCCAAAATGTTTTGTGAGGATTTAGTGATTTGTTGCTCAGACTTCTGAGTGAGAAGTATTATGCACCTGTGGTGGTGTTCTCTTCCATCAGCTTGTTCAGTTGTTTTTTGAACCCATGTAAAAATCTGGCATTCACAACATCCCCCATCAGAGTGGAGACTATACTGTTTTTGTCACTCTCGCCTCTCAATATCACTTAATATTCCCTTCCTCTTCTGTAGGAAATGAGTGAACTTAATCAGCATTTCCATGTTAATCATGATTTGATAGACCTCATGGTATACATGTGTCTGTTTGAAATAAATAAAAAGAAGGGAAGCAAAGCTGTATACAGATTTCCAGTGTCATTCACAGCAGCATGGAACATGAAGTGGTGTAATAATTTTCATTACAGCTCCTATTCATTGCCTAAAAATTCCTAGTATTCGGTTTGCCTTTTCAGCAGCTGGTGAATAGAATAGAATAGTTCAGTTGTAAGGGACCTACAACGATCATCTAGTCCAACTGCCTGACCATTTCAGGGCTGACCAAAATTGAAGCATGTTATTAAGGTGTCCAAATGGGTGTTAAACGCTGACAGGCATGGGACATCAACCACCTCTCTAGGAAGCCAGTTCCAGTATTTGACCACCTTCTCGGTAAAGAAGAGGTGTCTCTAGGCTCAGTAAACATAGCAGTGGATTGGTTGTTTGATTTGGTTCGGTTTTGTACTGCTTACACCTCTGAGATACCACTTCTGAGTCTGTACATGAGGTCTGTTTTTCCCTGCAGTCTGTGTTGAATTTCATTTGCTTTGTTCTCACTCTGTTGCTCATGAGGTGCTCCTGCAGTTTGCAGTCAATTGTTTTACTCCTTGAATAGTTTAGCAACATCAGCAAACCCTGTCATTTCACTTCTCGCCCCTAGTTCCTAGATCTGACATATCAGTGTATCGGCAGGTGTAGAACTGAACATGAATTGTGAACACTAGGAATACTATATTCCTGGCCCCATTTTTTCTGTCTGTTAACCAATATTTTCATCCACTTGAGAGCCTTACTGCTTATCCTATAGTAGCTCTCTTTCTTTAAAAGACTTTGATAACGGAGTCTATCAAAGGCTTTTTGGAAATTGATCTGTATTATCAACTGTAACTGCCTCGCTTGATGACTCTTTCAAGGAACTTTACTAGATTTGAGAAGCATAACTTCCCTTTATTAAAGCATGTTGATGCTTTCCCATGATCCATCTTGTCCAGTCATTCTGGGTTTTTTTGGAAACTTCTAGTTTGTTTAGTATCAACATCACACTTACTGGTTCGGTTTGTTGACTCTTCCTTGGATCCCAGTTTAAAAATTAATGTAATGATTATTTCATGCTATGAACAAGATTGCATGCTCCTTCCTTCACTATACTGTTGAGTGAGTCATGGGTACTTAACAAAAATAAGCAATTGTTGTGGTTTAGGCCTAGTGCGTAAACTGAGCACCACGATGCCCCAAAAAAGGGGCTACTCAAAATAAGGACTGGGAGGGCTTCCCACACTTAAAAAGGTCGCGGGCAAAAGACACTCATCATAAGGAGAGAAAAATCAAAACAATTTTTAATTTGTTACCAACATCAGAGTAGAACAATGGGAGATACAACCAGATCTTAAAGTCAAAACACCGTCCCCCCACCCCTCCCTTCTTCCTGGGCTCAGCTTTGTTCCTGGTTTCTTTCCCTCCTACCCTGTGCCCTGAGGCACAGGGGGATGGGAGTGCAGGCTGCAGTCGGTTCATGCCATGTGGTCCTTCAGGGGTAGGGAGGACTCCTCCCAGCGTGTCTCTCTCTCTCTCTCTCTCTCTCTCTCTCTCTCTCTCTCTCTCTCTCTCTCTCTCTCTCTCTCTCTCTCTCTCTCTCTCTCTCTCTCTCTCTCTCTCTCTCTCTCTCTCTCTCTCTCTCTCTCTCTCTCTCTCTCTCTCTCTCTCTCTCTCTCTCTCTCTCTCTCTCTCTCTCTCTCTCTCTCTCTCTCGGCTCCTCCAGGGCCAGCCACTGCTCAGGGGGCCCTGCCCCACCGCTGAGCTCTACGGGCTGCAGGCCACTTGACGTGGCTCTCGCCACGGGTTGCAAAGGGGAAACCTGGGTTCTGCGTCCTCTTCCTCCTCCCTCTCCTTTCTTTCCTTCAACCGACCTTGGTGTTCTTCAAAGTTGTTCTCCTCAGGCCCCACTCTTTTCTCCGCTGCAGGTCTCTTCTGATGGTTCTGAAGAGTTCCCAGCTCTCTCTTTCAGGATGAAGATGCAGTGGGGCTTAAGCTTAAGCTGGGGTCAGACTGGCCCAGCCTGGCAAGGCAAGGCCAGGGCCGCGCCACCCACGCCTGGGGCTGTGCTGATTGGGGCCGGTGCCAGAGAGAGAGAGGCATGCCCTGCACCACCCTTAAATACATGAATTCACAGGGGTGCTGATTGGTTTGGCCCTGGTCAGAGGTGGGTCTGACAAAGGCAAAGGGGGAGCTTTTCAGGTAGCTTCTTAAAGAGCTATCTCCACAGCCTTTCCCCCATACCAAAGACACAACCAAAAACCCCTCACAGAAAACCCAATACAGCTATTTCTAGAGCTCCCTACTGCATTTTCTGCAAAACCTGGATATTACAGAAAGATTTAGGTACCAAAGGAAGAGAAAAGACTATTTGATGGTTAAGATAGTTCTCCAAAGCAACATTTAACTAACCTATCCTTCACTCTGTCAAAATTAGAGTTAATTTAAAAAAGAAAAGAAAGTCTGAAGCAACTTGACTTTGTTTTTTGTTTTTCTGTTCGAAGTGCCTGTTGCGAGGCCTTCAGTCTCATTTGCAGAAGCAATGAACAGTTTTGGCTGATGCGTACAGGCAAGAACCAGCTAGCTACTTACTTTTTAAAAGCAGATCTGATGTGATTCAGTTCAGAAGCCTAAAATTAGGGTGTACTTTTTGGCCCGTAATTTTGTGCTTCTGCTCCCTATCTAGGGGCAGGCAAACAAAGACAACTGTGGGCAAAGTAGTAGTATTTTGATTAAGTGTTTTTACTTAACTGATGCCATAGTTATGACCACTCTAGAACATCTAGGAAAACTTGCAGATCAAAATGTGGATACAGTATTCTTTCTAAGGCTTGGAAGGCTATATCTCCTCTCTCTCTGAAAAGGAAACAGGTAAGTGCTATCTGTTCTGCCTCATGTGGTGCAAGGAGGCATATTCAAAATTCTGCAAGAAGGGATCCATGAGGAAGAAAGGAAAAATATAGTGTCATTTGTAATTATAGAAAATGTAATTATGCATCCTTTCTCCAGTTCAGTAAATGTGTAAACAAACCACCTTGACTTGACTCTTAAGTTTCATCGACACTATTGTGTAACTGTTTTAGGGGCTGATTCTGTATTTTACAAATGATTGGTGCCACTTCATCATAGCATCATCTTACAGTTGTAACCTACTTCAGCACACAAGTACCAACTACAGTATACAACTAATCAGTGTAATAGCGTATTTGAATGCATCGTTTAGTGGTGGAAATACCAAGTTACAGTAGTTAATTTCTTTTACACATTTTTGCAGAAGATACATTGGGAAGGGGCTGGCTGCTGGAGTACGGGTGCATGGTTATAGTTATCCTGTTATGTCTAACTGTTTCCTCCCTTTTCTCTCTTCTCCTTTCATTCCCTTTTCTTTCCTTCCACTTTTTACCCGTTTTAGTTTTAACTAAACTTTTTAGCGTTCAAAGTGTGGAAGACAGGAGATTCTTAAGAGTTTCACAGTACTGATGGCTGGCCGTTATGCCCGTATGTACTGAAGAGCCAGCTGGCATATGCAGTGCATAGCAAAGGCTATAGCAAGTCTTGCCAGACAGTAGCTGGAGAGCAGAAGAGAGGAATAGTAACTGTACCTTTACAATTGCTTCCTAGACAGATCTTAATTTATAGGGTTATTTTCCCCACATATTCATGCCTCATTACCAGCTTCCCCTTATTTTTTTAACGTCTTAAATGATGTCCTCACTTTTCCAGAAGAGCCTTTAAAAATGTCTTTTCACATGTACATTAGGGGCCTGTAGTCCATTTATTAAGTTCTAGTATTTAAACAGTGTTATCAGAGAAGACTAGCACGTATTTAGTGCATAAAGGAGGAATGGAAGTATTTTAAGTACTTCTGAGGCCTGAAGCGTTAGGAAAGGAGTCCTGAATTTAAGACCAAGACCATTCAAGACCGTGTTCTGCTCTTGTGTATTTCGCCTCCCTCCAAAGCCAGTCCCCAGTTCGTAATTTAATCATTCTATTGGATCACAGCTGGGGAAATATTTGTAGGGCAGGCTGTGCTTCATAACATATATAAGTTGTACTGAGAATTTTTTTTAGAGAAAAACCAGTATTTTTTAAATTTTGATTTGGCTCCAGCCCTGTTTAATGTTTTTTGGTTTTGTTTTTTTTTTTACTGAAGTTTGAACTACTTTTTTTTCTTTTTTTTTTTAACCTATCAAATAAGTACAGCCACAGAAAACTACTGAAAAAAAGTCAATACATTCTAAGTTTATGGATTACTTTATGACAGTATCTTGCACAAAGGGGCTGTACTGTCTGCCACAGGACTGTATGTCCACTGTGCGATATTTCTGCTAGATGCCTTATTTCAGCAGCATTGACATTTTTTCCTTGAGAACCACTACAGTTACTCAGTCTTGGATAGTCAGCTGATCCTGTTTACATATGCTGTATGCAGGAAACTTTGAATTTTGTTATGGTTGTTGATTATTCAGTCTGTGGTGTTTTGCAGACTTCAGGAGTGGTTTTGTAAGTGTTCCAGCACCAGTATGGGAAAGGTCAGATTCCAGGGGAGTTGCAGGAGCACAGGATATCACTTTTTCCAATACTGTAGGAAAGAAACAAGTGAAGTTCATGCTACCGTATTTCTCAGATCACTCAACATATTACTGAAATCAGAAAGTAACTGAGTGACATAAAATGTTGGGGAGTAGTCCAGCAGTGCATACAGACACCTGGTTCCTCTTGCCAGATGGCTTTGTTTAAGTGTTCTTTAGGACTGTATGCCATGACTTGAGTGAATGGAAGCAGTCTTGTAATATGAAATAAACGTAAATCTAAAAAAAAAAAAAGTACAAATTCTTAAGTTTCAGAACTGAGAGGTGTAGGAAGGTATTCAATTAACTATGGCTTGTTTTAAGGAAAGCAATAAACTACTTTTCTTAAATAAACCATTTTATAATTGTGGGCAGCAGTGTACAGTCCATTATAGTCCTTCTGTGACTCAGCCATCATGTAAATAGCAGGAAAAAGATTTTGTGACTGAGAGATGGTTAAGTAGTAGTTGAAAGAATTCATGCTTATGCATAAATCTGAGTGAATAAAAAGAATCAGAATGTGGAATGGTATCAGATTTAAGAACTGGAGAATCTGACAGAGCATGTTAATTTGAAAAGGATGACACAGACTGTTAGTTTAGTAGTGTTTTTTGTCTCTGGACTAGATTATAATCAATAAATTATATGACTGTTATGGGCAGGGAGCTGTACAAGCATGGTTATGTGTAAGGCTCCATAAGAAATCTAGTGGTTTGTGACCAGAAAGTTTGGGAACAATTTGTCCTAGCATGTCACCAAAAGAGAAAACTGGAAGTATCATACTGGTGTACCTACCTGGTTTTGTCGTTGGGAGTGTGTTAAAATGTGTAGTTGATGCTCATTGGTTTCATTTTGGAAATGTAGAAAGATCCAAAAATGTTGCTTGCAAACATTCAAAAAGAGAGATCTGTTCTCCTGGTTTCTGGATTGGATGTGTCTTGGATAATGAAGAATTAGAAATTGCTACCATCTGACAGCTGCTTAATTTAAATAAATGATTGTTTTTCCTATTAAATTTGATTTGGTTTTTGTCCACAGTATCAGAGCAGCCACAATAAGCAGCTGTCTTTGCAGTCTTAATGGCAGGGGCAGAAGTAGTGGATTAGTAACTC